ACTACCAGACATGTGACTACAGGCATGCGCCACATGCCCGGCTCATTTTTTCATATATATATTAGTGGCCAATTAATTTCTTTCTATTTATAGTAGAGACGGGGTCTTGCTCTTGCTCAGGATGGTTTCGAACTCCTGACCTCCAGCAATCCCCCCACCTCGGCCTCCCAGAGTGCTAGAATTACAGGCATGAGCCACCGTGCCCGGCCCACCCCTGGTTTATAGGAGAGGGACCCACGGCACAGAGAGGCTAACAACCTGCCCAAGGGTCACACAGCCTGTAAGGGCAGGGCTGGCAGTCTGCCCTCCTCTGAGCTACAACAGACACACAGAGCAGAGCGTCAGAGCTGGATGCTCCTGCAGGTTGCTAGTTCGACCCTCTCTGACAGAGCAGGAGTGGAGGCCGGGAGGCTGCCAGACTGAGGTCAGGGGCTGCTGGCCTGGTGCTGGGACTCACCCCGACTCTCTAGACTCCAGCCAGTCACCAAGAAGCACACCTGCACCCTCACCCTCCCCTTCAGCCCTGCAGTGCCAGAAGAACCACCCTTCCTCAAGACAGATCAGAGCAAATGGTTAGCTGTTAGAGTCCATCCTTTTTTTTAAGACAAGAGTCTGCTCTTGCCCCAGCTAGAGTGCCGTGGCGTCAGCCTAGCTCACAGCAACCTCAACCTCCTGGGCTCAAGCGATCCTCCTGCTCAGCCTCCCAAGTAGCTGGGACTACAGGCATGCGCCACCATGCCCAGCTAATTTTTTCTATATATTTTTAGTTTGTCCAATAATTCTTTCTATTTTTAGTAGAGACGGGGTCTCGCTCTTGCTCAGGCTGTCTCCAACTCCTGACCTTGAGCAATCCTCCTGCCTCAGCCTCCCAGACTAGGATTACAGGCATGAGCCACCCCGCCTGGCCCAGAGTCCGTCCTTATGTTAAACAAACCAACAAATGAAAACTGCCTCCATTGAACCGCCTTTCAGTTTGTAGCTGTTCTGCCATATTCTACTTGAGAGCGCTGAAACTGTCCGGCCAGGGACGGCCAATGCATGGCGTCAAACCCGCGTTTATGTTCATGTTCCACATGCTACGATTCTCATGCCGTTTTCATGCAGAACAACAGCCCAGTGATGTCAGATGGCACGAGTGTTCCAGAATTTAGGTTTCCTGGTATCAAACAAATCCCACCTTCTTTCCACTTAAGTTTTCTTGGGAATGCAAATCCTCACACCAATGGTTCCATAAACACAGTTTTCTGGGAACTCACATCATCTTTGTTTTTTGTTCAGAGAGGGGGTCTTGCTATGCTGGCCAGGCTGGAGTGTGGGGCCTATTCACAGGTGCCATCATCGCGCACTGTAACCTCGAACTCCTGGTCTCAAGCAATCCTCCCCGCTCGGCCTCCTGAGCAGCTGGGATACAGGCGGTTGCCCCCACGCCCGGCTCCTAGAGCATCTTAGAGCAGGGCCTTCAGAGACGGCCGGTGTGCTCCTGGTGGGGGCTGCGGCCAGCCAGCGGCAAGGTGGGCTGCGGGCGCCCCGCCCGGCGGGCTCACGCCAGGAAGGGGGTCCTGATGTCACGGGCCATCCCCTCCACACAGTGTGTCACAAATTTACCTTCTTTCTAAGTTCTCACCTGGATTGAAACTAGCCTCGGGTGAGCTGTCTTCCAGCTCGGCCTGCCTGCGTCCCCACAAGGAATTTGTCCTATAACCCGGTTCATTCCCGTGGCTCCTTTATCAATCCACCCATGTCTTTCAAATCAAGGGGCGTCAAAAGTCACAGCTGCACCTGAGTTTTGAACCTTCCACGCCGTTTTCGCTCTCTAAGGACACGGCACGTTGCGAGAAGGCCGGGTGGAGTCTGGGAAAAGGCCCGGCATGGGGGGAGGGGCCGGAGAAGGAAAGCGCATAGGACTGACTTTCTACGGCCCCAGCCAGCCAGCAAATGACGAAGGCCACCCGTGGGGAGGGACGGGGCTCCGCGCACTGCTGGCTCGGTTTCCAAGCCAGCAGGTAACAGGCCAGAGCCGTCATGGCCGCCTTAGCCCCCCCTCAGTGTGGGAGAGGAGGCAGAGAGGGGTGGTCTGGCAGAAGGGGAGGCAGGGCCGGGGGAGGAGGGTCCAGGCTGAGGACTCAAGGAAGAGGGAAGGGAAGGCAAGAGGAAGCTGCCACCAGATGGGGACAGGACAGGAGCTCAGTAAGCAGAATTCCGGGATGGTCCCCGAGATTCCTACCGTGTTTCCCCCAAAACAAGACAGGGTCTTATATTTATTTTTCCTCAAGAAGACACCATAGGGCTTATTTTCAGGGGATGTGTGATTTTCCCCTCAAAGCCTCAGCGTGCAGCACACACAGGATAACCAGGACCCGACAGGGGGAGCCGCCCTTGTTGGTGGGGCTGCCCGCGCCTTTCTGGTCACCTCTGGGACAGTAGCTGCCACGATGGGGCAGATGGGAAGGGCTGCTCGTCGTCTTTCCCGCTCCGAGACGACACGCATGGGTTGTGCAGACGCGCTGCGTAGCCACGCCCGTCACTAGGGCTTGTTTTTGGGGTGGGGCTTCTATTGCACACATGCTTAGACATCCTGCTGGGGCTTATTTCATGGGCAGGGCTTATTTTCGGGGAAACACAGCACCACTGGTGCACACGCACTGCGCAGCCCCTGTCCTGGCATGTGCGGGGGATGTGGATGTGATGGATGCCGCTCCCGTGGTTGGGCCGAGCAAGAAGCCCTGAGCTACACGCTGGGCACGGTCACTCCATGCCAGGGACTCTAGAAATGGCGGGCTCTGGACCCCGAAGCTGCCCTTCTCTGCTCAAGACCTCTTTGCTGAGATACACAGTAAGACACTTAAGGGTGCGATGACAGGATCTCCCTCTGACTGTCTCAGAATGACCTGGGTGCTGGAGCAAGTGGGGTGTGAATGGCTGTGGGTTGGCCACTGTTGAGGCTGGGGGGGGGACACGGGCTGTTTAAATTAATTGATGGCTCTCAAATGTCAGCCCCCAGCAGAGAACCAGCCTCACCTGGAACCTGTCAGAAATGCTAGCGTCAGGCCCACCCTGACCTGCTGGGCTCCCACAAGCGACAAGCGCTCCAGGCCTGCTGGCAATCCCTGATCCCTCTCCCTCGCACCTGCTCTAGGCAGGCCACCTACTTCTCGGTCTGTCTGACTTGTTTCCTAATAAATAGCAAAGATTTAAAAAGAAGAAAAGGAAAGAAGGAGACGAAGGAGTCCCCAAACCGAAGCCCACGGATGCACGGCTAGGAGACCTCCACGGTGCTGGGGCAGGGTTTTGCTGGAAGCCCCCTCGGTGCCACCCCACAGGGCTCCCCCTGGTCCCACAGCTGCCCCAGGGCCGGGCGGGGCAGAGGGAGGCGGACACAGCTGAACTCCCCGACCAGATGCCGCTCCCCGCTGGCCGGGGTCTGGAATGCCAGAGCGCCACCTCCCTTTGCAGGCGACACAGCCGGCCCTCCCCCAGGGTCCGACTGCCCTGGCCGGGGTCCCACACGCTGTTCCATGCACTGGGCTGTAGAGTAAGACTGTCGTTGGGGGAGGGGGGATGGTTGGGGAAAAAAAGACTCCATTTATCACTAGAGTTCCTCACCATAATAATTCTAAAAAGCTGAACCTCTGACTCCAGAGTTGGGCAGAGTTGGACTTTCACGTCTTATTTTACCAAATGGAAACACGACAGCACCCTGGAACCGAGGTGATGATGGGGACGGGGTGGTCTAAAAACACACAAGGCAGCACAGGCCTGCCCCCCGGGCCTCCTGAACACAGGGCCGAGGCAGCCAGGTCTCCCGCCGCTGTCCTCCACGCCACCATCCCCACCGCCTGCCGTGGAGCTGGGCCCGTCACCAGGCACCCGGCCCGCGGGCCAGAGGGGAGACAGACCACCGAAGCCACCCTCCTCCCACGACAGGAGGCCTGCTCTGGGCTGCACAGACCCCGTGCGACGTCTCCGGAGCCAGGCCGGAGAAGCTTCCAGAAAGCTGTGCGAAGAAGTCACCGTCGTCCTGAGCCACAGATGAAAGGCCTTAGGGGCTCCCTTCTCGAGGGGTCCCTACGCCACACAGAAAGGCCCGGCGGGCTCCAGTTCCAGGCAGAAGCACAGAGCGGGCTCCTGCTCGGAGCACCAGAGACTCCCGGCCGCAAAAGACAGTCATCCGGAGACAACGGCCGCTCCTTCCTGAGGGTCTGGGAACAGCCCGCTCGGGCTGGGGGGAGGCCAAGGACAACTAGAAAAAGAAGCTATTGACCAGGACACCAAGACAAAGCCCAGGACAGAGGCGGCAGAGTGCCCTGCTAGCTGGAGATGCTGCCCAGGGCGAGCAGCCCCGACACCCTGAACCCAGCTCCAGTGACGTCTGGGGGCTCTGACAGCTCTAACGCATTTGCATCCTTCTTGTGGCCCCTCCCAGGAAGTCCCCACGCAAAGGACAAGAACGTGACATGGTGGGGCAGAGGTCCTGACCGCTGTAGGGATGAAGGTGTGGCAGGTGGCCCTTGTGGCAGCTTCTTCGAAGCCCGGCACAACTTCAGGGAGTCCCAGCTCGGCCTGTCCGTTTCCTGAGCGTCGCAGCTTTCCTGGGGTCCCAGCCTCGTGTGGCATTCTACACCCCGGGACCCCCCGCCCTGCAGCCACAGAAAAAGTCCTCCCTCTGTTTTCAGACTCTGTACGTGGCACCCAAGGGCTCCAGAATTCTACACAGCAGCTGGAAGGGGTCTATGAGCCGCAGCTCTCGGGCAGTTCTCGAGAAATAGGACTGAGATGTGTCACTTCCTCCACCCAGGCTGAGAAAGTTCTGGGGCCCTGGGGAGGCACCCAACCTCAGCTGGGAGGCCGGCTCAGCCTGGTGGAGACTCACTGCACGTC